ATGGAAATATCATGTTTTCACTGCCTGTAGTGATTAGGTAGAGCTTATTTACGCATGCACCACTCTGTAAACATTTAATTTAAGAAAGATAAAAACTTTAATAAAATCTGTTTTTAAAAAAATCTTTACATTTTCATGGATAATTGGCATAATTTGTCTTTACATTAATTAACAAGCACTATTTGCTGGTATTTAAGCGCTGGTGTTTTGCTCAATCAGCAGCTATGAAGCCTACTTAAAATAATAACATATAATATAATCTGTGAAATTCTCAATTCAAAAACATTACATTTATTTACATGCATTTGACTTTTATTCAAATGAACTCATTTACATTTTACTGACCAGTGACCACGATTGTTTTTACTAGGTGTAGTTACAGCACAGGTTTTCCCACCTCTGCAACATTGTGTTAGTTTTACCTTCTTTGTATTGACTATAAGTGATAAAGCCTTGATGGGAAGGATCCAGGATTCCAGTCGGACTCGATAAAGAGGCACGGAGGGTTTCCCGGACGAACTTTGGAAACTTTGAGCTTTTCGAGCTGGTCGATCGGAAATTCTCTAGGGCGATCTGTAATGGCAGAATTCGTGAGATTGGGAATTCAGTTTGTCTTTAGTTTTCTGTTTCCCAGAAATTTAACAGCAAGAAAGCAACTGGTTACTACTCTAGATGTCTACGCACTACAAATGCTGTTTTAATATGTCATCAAACTCTCAATTTCACATTTATGCTGGTTAAGGTAACGTTAAATACGACAGTTTACAGACTAAAGTAATCTACCAAATCTACTACGAGACGCGTCAAAGGTTTCACCTGGTCTGTAGAAGAAGAGCATACTAGATAAATTATCCATCAGCTCAACAATTTTGTGTTTCTCCAGGTATTCTGCTGCCTCTAGCTCCCGCGGCGTTGACATCTTGCCCACTGCTTCACTGCAAGTTTATCTCTGTTGCTATGATACCGCACATGCGCAGTAGAGGTGGCAAAAGTCAGCGCCCTGCCTGTAGCAAGAGTGATTTTATTAATTATCATGAATGATTAATGATGTCTTAATAAAAGTGAAGCTGTAATAAAGGAAATCGTTGTAGAAGAAATAAGCAAATTATTTTTGCATTCACCTCAATTTAATACCAAGTTACTTTTAACAGAATAGTTCGACCAAAATGTAGGCCTACTCGCCCTCATGTTATTCCTAAACTGTGTGAAATTATTTATTTTGCGGATCACAAAGGGAGAGGTTAGACATAATGACAGCTTCAGGCATCATTTCGTATATGGGAAAAAAGATGCAATGAAAGTGAATGATGACTGAAGATCTCTCTTTTTGCTCCTATAAGGGACCTCTCCCTTAGAGGTAGAGTTCTTCTGTCGAAAGCAGAAGGAATTTCTAGACTAACCTATGTTGCTTCATCTATACATTTAGACAATAAAACTATCAATACTATTGATCGGATTTTATTTAATTTTCTATGGAAGAATCGTGTGCACTACATTCATAAATCTGTTGTTATGAATTCACTTAAAAATGGTGGCCTTGACTTTCTAGATTTCTCTATGTTAAATAATACCCTCAAAATTAATTGGTTAAAATTCAGTTTGAAACAACCCTCTTTGTGGAATTTTAATCCTAATTTTATTTTTGACCGACTTGGGGGCCTTTCTTTTTAACTAATGTGTAATTACAAGATTGACAAATTGCCAGTGAAACTATCTGCCTTTCATGCTCAAGCTTTATGGTCTTGGAAATTGATTTACAAGCACAACTTCTCTCCGCAACGTTATTTTATTTGGAATAACCGCTGTATTTTGTATAAACACAAAGTTTTTTTGTTTTTTTTTAAAGTTGGTTTGATAAGGGTATTGTTTTAGTTAACACTCAGGGATACCTCATGACGTATGATGAGTTTCTTATGCATTTTAATTTTCCTGTGACTCCCAAGGAATTCTCTCTTATATTTTCTGCAATCAATTCTGATATCATTTTCTTTTGTAGAGATGTGTTGTCCCTGGGTTGATATGCCTATAATTAACCTAACTGATACAGTCTGTGGTAAAATCAGTTTTTCACAGTCCAAAAACAAAAACAAATCTATTCGTTCTCTATTTCTAATGGAGGTTGTTACCAAGCCTTGCTCTACTGTTTATTGGACTAAATTTGTTAAAGGGGTCATATGATGCGATTTCAATTTTTCCTTTCTCTTTGGAGTGTTACAAGCTCTTGGTGCATAAAGAAGATTTGTAAAGTTGCAAAGACTAAAGTCTCAAATCCAAAGAGATATTCTTTATAAAAGTTAAGAGTCAACCACGCCTACCTAAAACGGCTCGTTCTAACACACCCCACATGTCTACGTCACGATGTGAGAAGATTTGCATAACGCCGCCCAAAGGTTCA